GAGTTTCGCATTGCGCCTACTTGGTGCTGGCGTCATTTTCCTCAGCTGGGACTGTGACAGCTATCACTCAACTATGTTTGTTGTTCTGGGCTAATCGCGCCGATGAGCGTTTGATTGGATCGACCCCGGTTGGCGATCGGGAACAACTGGATGAAGATGATGAAAAGTATGTCAATTGGCCTTAGACTGTTCCTATCTAGTGGCGACTAAGGCCTCCTACTTATACGTAGCTAGTGGACTGGCCCCCTGCCTACGTGAGTACCGGTACAACTGCTAGGTCGTTGCCCCTTATTTCAACAAAAGAGCGAAAGGATGACGGGGACAAGAGTCTGTTTTTTAAGTACACTCTATGAGATTAATTTGTTTAATGCAGTATAGGGTTTTCACTCAGAGATTCAGTTGGTGTGTCCCATAAATAGCTATTTCGCTTAACGGACTCCGTACTTTTATTCTTATGGTTTACTGCCACATTGCTTTGAGATGAGCACGTATTTATGCTCGGTCAACTCAAGTTGAGATCTTTCTATATCACATGATAGTCTTATCGAAATACGCAGAAGCCAAATGATATTAATAGGGCAGTTATAGGGCAACTCGACCTACGACAAGCCATGCCGAAGGAGGTTGGGTGACATATAGTAGTATAACACTCAGAGAAATACTTTGTAGAATCCTCTAAATGTTACTACGAATACCCAATCTAATGTCGGGTTTGAGCAAGTATTGCCAACCTCGCAGTGTTGTACCGCTCAGGTGTATGTAGGAATACACAATGGAGAACATGAAGCTCGCTCGGTATTTCTCTTGTTTGTGCGTCTCACACCTGGCATTGTCAGACACGAGTTTGTAATAGTATAAGACAACAAAAGAACCCCATTCCGAAATATAACTGTCTTTATGTCTGTTTTCTACTTGCTCTTCCGGCTATCTCGAATGAGCTAATACTAGGCTAAGCGGAAGAGAGGCCACAGGGTTTCAAGCCTCACACCAGGCCTGCCACTTCGCAGTGGTTACATGTGCATGTGGCGTATGAACTGCGGTATTATTCCCGTATTTTCCAATCGAATTATCAGACTTAATGTACATTAGAATTAAAAGAGTATAAGTATCCGTCAACATGTCATGGTGTTGACCCCATACCCTAGACTTTTATCTCATACTCAATGATCCTCCCACCTACACAATATACACCCATATCTCTGAGCATCAGGAAGTCGTTTTAGTATTAGTAATGTCTAAGAGACAAAGTGGTAAGCGCCGTATTCTGGCCCGTAACTGCGAGTTCTGCCGCATACGAAAAGTCCGTTGCAGCACGCAGAAGCCTTCCTGTACATTTTGTCTGAAGCACGGAAAAGAATGCGTCTACAGACATCAAGCACCAAAAGCAAGGTACAATCATCGATTAGGCCGTTGAATCATCCAAATCATTCAGCTAACCTGGAAGACAGGCCTACACGGGCCATGTTGCCAGTTCTTTGGGTTGATCTCACCATGTCTGCTAATTTGATCTGAGCTGGGACGATTTACGAACAGAAATGAGCACTTGAAAGAACAAATTCGACAAATCAAGTAAACGGGACTGTTTCAGAAAGCTGACACCAACATCGAACCAGCACAGACGGCCGGTGAGCATCCGAAGTCGTGGCGTGATCTTTGCGAGGAACGATCAGGGGGCCAGCACTCCTGGCCAGTCGAATTTGGATCGGCCAACCGCTCACGATCCTGAAGAAATAGCACCGTATGTATCAGTAATACCTGGGCACTTATACAAGCAAGTGTTTCTCTTGAGCCAACTAAGTTCGGCGCGGCTCATGCTCGGTACGATATCATTCAACTCTTTGAGCTTTCTTTCGTCCATGATTGAGCTACGCCACCAAAGTATGAGTAAATATATAAGTAAATACATAAGAGAAGCGGAATTTTTGTAATGATAACACTATGTGAGCCTAATTATCCCTTCACCCGGAGATTTAGACTCTTTTACCAAATGCACAGATACCGGGACCTCAGTATCCGAAAGAATCATTTTCGACCGGAGGTCAAAGGTACGTCGGGATTGCTGAACTATGAACTGCGGGGGTGTTCAGCCTATCAACTTCATTTATATGCCGATCCTCAGAAGAAGCCGTAAAGACATTTTGAGAACATTACCAGAATTATAAACAACGTCAAAGTAGCATTGTCGCGAACATATATTTTCAAATATTATTATTTCTGCCTTCTAGTACTCACTGCAGTCATATTCAGACACCTAACCTGAAGTCTCTATCTTTTATTCTCTTCATTTTCACCTCTCCCTTCTCCGTTCATACAGCCACTCCCCATCATGGCTCGGTTTGACCGAAAAGTTGCCATCATTAGTCTGGATTTGGAGAAGCTATCACACATGGATTTGTCGCTCAAGGCGCCCATGTAACAGTCGCGGACTTTGACAAGATCATTGCCGTGAATGTCAAGGAAATCTACCTAAGCGTGTCTGTTATAATGCCCAATTTCCTCCATAGGATATATGGGGTTTATTTGAACACTTCATCCGTAGCTAGAACGAGAGTGCAGCCTGGTCAAGTATTCTATGGAGGCACCAAAGGATTTGAAACACTGTATGTGTTCCTCCATATAATTTGCCGAATACTGCACAGATACCGCTAACTACAAGTACTATGTTAGATTACACAAGGCCTAGCGGCCGAGTACGGCCGGTCTGGCGTCCCTGGGAACTCCCTCTGTCCATTGAGGGGTGCAACAGGACTCCTCGAGATGTTCAGTTGCGTCGCCGATACCCCTGAGGAAAGGGAGAGATTTGCTTATTCTGTCCTGCTGAGGCGTGTGACGGAGCCCAATGATATTGCGCAGGCGGCGATTTACCTGACTAGCAACGAGGCTGCATTCATCACGGGCGTAAACTTGCTGGTGGACGGAGGACGCCTTGCAGTATAGTGGAGCAATTGCGTAACATACTCTGTACTTTGACTTGTCTGTTGAAGCAATTTATTCAAGCCACCAGGCTTCAGCTACTATGCACCTCATCTGCAGGGAGAGTTAGCGAAACGAGACTCCTTTGTGAGACAGAGAGCCGGGTAATCTAACCTCACCCTCGCCCTCTGTCTGGCGGTTCCCTGCACGGGCGTATATCTAACACGTCTCAACGTTTCAAGTGGACGGGGGTTTGTATGCAAGCTTCAATGGAAATTCTGGAGATTTTCTCAATGTCTGAATCTATACGGAGTACGCTGTTCTAAAATGTTCCCGGTTGCGCGACGTTAGCCGGGAGTCGAGTGGCTCAGGAGCCGAGTTGGTTGCCCGATGCAGTATGCAAGGGAGTCAAGGTGGATGAGATGGATGTTGGCCCCGCCATCGCAGCCGGCCTGAAATGTGAATCCCTAGACAAAAGAAGATCTAGGCTTTTTAGTATCATCGTAACGGTCTAAATACGGACTGCAAATTTAAGCCCTCCTCGATGGTGCTTGTGTTTTAATCATCGGGCTACATCCTAGTACCGTAACTTTCATGAAGCGCACTTTTTAAAATGATGGTGCTGTTGCTATCAGTCTTGAGCCACTGAATCGGAGGCTACTGCCCTCTTTGTGATACCTTTAATTTGCCATCTGCAAAAGGCATGGGACATTCTTTTTTTAGACGACCTAAGCGGAGAGCACACGTAACCTGAACAGTTGGTTGATCATTTCATGGACCGATCGATGACCAATCTTTATACAGATCACCATGAGATAATTGGTTAGGCAAGTTACGTCCTGCTTGTACTTCTTTCTATTATGCTGCTCTATGCCAGTAGCAACTCCCTACATCTCGATCTAGATCAAATCTCATAGTGGCGAAAGTTGCTAGTGATCACTATCTTTTCTTTTTCGTACTAGACCGGTCGAGCTAGCCACTCGACTAGATAGCATCAGTTTTCAAGTACGGAGCTGTAAATAACGCTATTTTGAATCGATAAAACAAGAGGACCACGTGCAACACGCACTCAGTGCTTTTTTCTCGGCGAATAAATTGCCACCGCAAAGACGCCTGTTCCAGACCAGACTGAGAGCAAGACAGCTATTGCTCCGTAGCTGGAGCTGCAAGAAAGGGAGCTGCGGGGCGCAACTCCACAACATCGAGATCAAGTATGCACGTAAGCCGGCTCCCCAAAAGGTTCTCACCCTCAATGCCGGCTTGAATCTCGAGGTGATCGGGGGGGGGGGGGGGGGGGGGGGGGGTT